GCCCCCCTGGGTCCCCAGGTAGGAGCCCCCGGCAGGTGGCATGCTACCACACCCAGCCTTATGCCAGAGCCCCCCCATCTGTGCTGTGCTCCAGAGCCAGGCAGCCATTCCCTCCCCACGGGAGCAGGAAGTGCTTGACCTGGGGCCACAGCCAGCCGGCCAGGCTGGACCAGGTGCTCTGCCCTCTGCCCTCTGCCTCTTGTTCTGCCCTGCTGATGAGATACAGGCAGAGGCTCTGAGCTGCATTCGGAGGAGGGAGTCTTCTTCCCAACTCTCTCGGCCTGGGTTCCTTTGCCCTCCAAGCCAAGGGTCCTCAGTGTCTTCCCCAGGCCCGGATGTCAGAGCTGCCCAGTCAGGGAGCACCTGCTGCCCCTCTTAGGATGCCCCTTGGCCATGGATCGTAATCCCCTTAACAGTCGTCTTCCCTTTCTTCCTCTTTCTGTGTGTGCCCACCCTGTCTGTCCTTGCACTCCCGGCTGTGTTCTCCCCTGGGTTATGCGTCCATGTGAACGGTGTGGGCTTTGTATCTGTGTGTGCACAACTGCATTCTTCCTGTCCCCCTGCTGTCTCTGACTATTCCTCCGTGTGGAACTGTGTGGGTGTGGTCTGTCCTGGCCCCTTTCCCTGCATTGTGTGCATCGTGCGTGCGTGTGTGTGTGTGTACTCATGCACGTGTGTGTGGGGCCCCGTAGTTGATGGAGCGTGGACAGAGTGGAGCAAGTGGTCGGCCTGCAGCACGGAGTGTGCCCACTGGCGCAGCCGGGAGTGCATGGCGCCCCCACCCCAGAACGGAGGCCGGGACTGCAGCGGGACACTGCTCGACTCCAAGAACTGCACAGACGGGCTGTGCATGCAAAGTGAGTCCTCGGGAGGGGGTCCCTGCGGGTGGGGACTCGAACCGAGAAGGGGCCCCATGAGCTCCGGCCCAGCCCAGGCCCAGTGCCCAGCCTTCAGGGGAGCAGCCCTCAGGACCTCTGCCTTCCACCACATCCGTCATCTCATCCGCACCACTTCCCATCGCCTCCTCTGCCACTCGTTCTGTCATCCATGTCATTGTCTTTCCCTTTATTTCCCTCGACAGATAAGAAAACTCTAGGCGACCCCAAAGGCCACCGTAAGTCCCATTTCATGGTTGTCCTCCTTCCTTTGGGGATCCCTGGTTCTCCTTGGCTGGCTGCTCTCTGATGTGGGCTGCAGGACAGAGATAATAGAAGCGCCTGTGGGGTCCCCTTGTATCCAGCTCTGCTTATGTCCATGTTTTGTAGCCCAGATAAGACACCTGCTGGCTCTCCTGTTACAGGAGAGGAAACTGAGTCTTGGAAGGAAAGACCTGCCAGGACCCAGCCAGGAAGCAGCAGAGCCCAGATTTGAATCCAAATGTTTTTGTAGCCAAAGCTGCTGCTCTTAACCCTATGCCCTTGGCTTTCCTCTCTTGGATGGGGCCAGGGGACAGCACCACACCTGCCCATCAGTGCCTCTCATTGTCACCCCCAGCAGCCAAACTAGGCCCCCCAGGTTGTCTTCTGCCGCCGTGTGCCATGCATCAGTTCCCAAGGGCTTGTCCTCCAGACTCAGGCCAGGCTTCTGCTGCAGTAAAGCCACTTGGGCAGATTGGCCTGTGGGAATTAAACCATTTCCAAATGATTCTGGAATTAAGAAATCAGCAGTGAGGCCCTTAGCCCAGCGCACTGGGGGGCCAGGGTGGTGATGAGATAGTGAGGACATTAAGAGCAGAGCCAACCTGAGAAGGGAGGACTTCCCTCCCAAGCTAGCAGCCTCCATGGAGGTGGGACCCTGGCCCTGCAGGGGAGCCCAGGAACTAAGGCTGCTGACAGGAGACTGAGGACAGACGGATGTTGGAGGTGGGCATACATCCAGTGTCCTGCCTTGCTGCAGGGCTTGGGCTGACCCCAAGGGCCAGGGAGTGATGTCAGTGACAGCAGGCCTCCCTCCCCAAGGGCCTCCAGATGGGAGGCAGCCCCAGGTGCTTCCTGGAGCCCCCAAAAGGATCAAGGCGGGGTGGGAGAAGCCACCAGCCACCCTTTGGGCTCCGCCTGAGCTGTCCAGTATGACAGCTGTTCATCATGTGTGACTACTTCAACGGCTGTTAGCTTAGTTGAATACATTTGGGCCTGCCCCGTAGCTCAGTGGCTAAGGGAGCTGGATCACACACGGCCAATTACAGTTCAAATCCTGGCTCTGGCAGCTTGGAAAACATACCACTAGGTCGCTCTGTGTGCTCCCTAGATCCTGACGGGATGGAGAGATCGAAGGGAAGGGATTGCGGTTCCACAGTGGGGTGCTAGCCCTCTCTGGCAAGCTCATACACCCTCTGCCAAAACCTAATTAATTCATTGAAAATACATTTAAAAATTCAGTTCCTCAGCTGCGCTGACCACGGCAGGTCAGTAGCCACGCGTGGCTAGTACTGCATGCGGGTGGTATAGACGCATTTCTCTCACCACGGGAAGTCCATGTTGGACAGCCCTTCTTCCCAACCTGCCTCTTGGCCCTGACACCTTCCTGCCAGCCGTGTCTGGTTGTTTCTGGCTGTGCAGCAGCATGCCTGGGCAGGGGAGTGTCACCACATGCAGCCTCCCTGTGCCCCGGCCTCTCCTACTGCCTCCCCACTGCTAGTTTTCTCCCTATCCCATTTAGGCATCTCATTCCACCCTCGCTCCCTCCCTGCTCCCCCTCCCCCTCTGCCCCTTCAGAGCATGGACGAGAAGTGCTCAGAGCAGCTGCTTAGAGCTGGAGCTCTGGGAGTGGGACCTTCGGTGCAGGCTGAGTGAGTTCCGTAGGTGCAGTTCTCTACAGGACTCTGATAGGACAGACAGGCCCCAGTGACTCTGAGCCTCAGCCCCATCTCCTTGGCGGTCGTGAGCAGGGAGCTAGCTTAGGAATTGAACGTTTTGTGCTATGGCCACTCAGCGCCACCCCAGGAGGCAGTAGCGAATGGCTTGGGGGCCATTTTACCCACAAAGAGACTGAGGCTCAGAGAGGCTCAAGCCTCCCCTGAGGTCACCAGCCTGCCATAGAAGGTCTCAGACTAGAACTCAGCACGGCCATAGTGCGCCCCAGGCCCTGCCTCTCCCCGGGGACCCTGGGCCTCCCTGCCTCCTGAGGCAGGGGTCTCTGCCTGGCCTCTCACCTGGCCCTCCTGTCCCCACAGTCCTGGAGGCCTCGGGGGATGTGGCGCTGTATGCAGGCCTCGTGGTGGCCATCTTCGTGGTTGTGGCGGTCCTCATGGTGGTGGGGGTGGTGGTGTACCGACACAACTGCCGCGACTTCGACGCCGACATCACCGACTCCTCTGCCGCCCTCACCGGCGGCTTCCACCCAGTCAACTTCAAGACTGCGAGGCCCAGTAAGGACCCAAGGAGGCTGGGGTGGTGGGCGTGCTCGGGGCTTCGGAGGGCATGGCAGTGGCCTGACCAGAGCTGGGGCTCCGGGCCCCCTCCCACAGCTTTTTCATGGAGATAACTGCATGGGTGGGAGTGGATGAGAGGGACAAGGAGGAAGCAGCCCAGGCTGGCGGGACCCCAGAGCTTCCTGCCAGGGCAGCAATAGCAATATTGGGCCTTTGGCGGCTAGTTGTCTGACAGGATTTTGCAGCAGGAGGGCCCTTGCAGGAGCGGGAACAGGGATCTGGGCAAGTGAGGCACGACTGGGTCTGACCACAGTACCCCACCCCCTGCCTCCCATAGGCAACCCACAGCTCCTGCATCCATCAGTCCCTCCCGACCTGACGGCCAGCGCCAGCATCTACCGTGGACCCGTGTATGCCCTGCAGGACTCGGCCGACAAGATCCCCATGACCAACTCACCCCTGCTTGACCCCCTGCCCAGCCTCAAGATCAAGGTCTACAACTCTAACACCACTGGCTCTGCGCCAGGCCTGCCAGACGGGGCCGACCTGCTGGGTGTCCTGCCACCTGGCACGTATCCTGGCGATTTCACTCGGGATGCCCACTTCCTGCACCTGCGCAGTGCCAGCCTCGGCTCCCAGCAGCTCCTGGGCCTGCCCCGAGACCCGGGGAGCAGCGTCAGCGGCACCTTTGGTTGCCTGGGCGGGAGGCTCAGCATTCCTGGCACAGGTGAGGCCCTGCCCTGCCTGCCAGCAGCCTGGCCTAGATCGTCCTCTCTGAATGCCCCAACTTCCTCAGTCCCGTTTCACAGATGGAGAAAGTGAGGCCTGGGGCCAAGAAGTGATAGTAAAATACAGAAGTCTGAATAGAAGACCCGGGTTTCACGCCCGCCTGTGCCTTCCCTTTGGACAGGGAAAGTAGGGCCAGCTGCTCTCCAAGCCTCGGTCTCTCTCTCTGTGAAGTGGGGGAGAACCACCCTGTATAGTTCAGCAGCCTAGTGAGCACTGCCCTAGCAGCAGAAAGGGCAGGTTGTGAGACCTGCAGTCTGTAGCTTCCCAGTGTCTCTGCTGGGCTGGGCCTGGGGCTGCCTGGCACTGGGCCTTCTCTGTGGTCCCGGTCTTCTCCCCGTCTCCACACCCCACAGCTGTGTGAAAGGGTACCGGGCAAGCCAGAAGTGGGCAGTGGGCTGTCCTTTCTGTATATCCAACCCCCAGACCCTCCCTCCCTGCCCCAAGCTGGGGGCCAGTCTCCCCTCCCCTATTCTCCTAAGCCGCTGGACTGCTTCCAGCCCCTCCCTACTCACCTCCCTTTCTCCCTAGGTGTCAGCCTGCTGGTGCCCAATGGAGCTATTCCCCAGGGCAAGTTCTACGAGATGTACCTGCTTATCAACAAGGCAGAAAACACCCTGTGAGTAGAGACCCCACCCCAGCCCAGTGCTCTCTTCCTTTCTGTCCATGCTGCCTACCCACGCCGGGCTCAGATATTTGCATGGTGGTTGCTATTAAGAACTTCTTTCCCCTTTGTTCACAACTGGGTGGGTATATATGAACAAGAGAGAGAGATGACCCTTCACAGGGTCTGGGGGCAGGCATCGTGATCCCCTTCCTCCCGTCTTCCAGTTCGTTGGCTCTTCAGTGCTCACGAGCATGCCCAGTGTGTTTGGAGCTGACTGGGCTGGAGATTCAAACCATGGTCGCCTGTGGGATCCAGCCTCTCTTCGGCAGTGCTTTGCCACAGCACCACAGTGCTGGCCGGCACTGGATAACATCGCCACCTTCCCTCCTAAGCCTGAGCCTAAGGCCAGAGCTGGTCCTTCAAGGAAAACATGGATTTACTACACTCACATGTAAAACTTGCAGAACTCACAAAACTGGCAGAGGTTGACCAACTGGCTATATGTAGGACAAAGGCTTTACTATACAGAGAGGTTTTATAGGCCAATAAGGAAAATGTAACATTTTAGTATGAAAATGGGCAAAGGATGTGACCCTGTGATACACACACACACACACACACACACACACACATGCTCACACACACACTCCCACACACGCAGTGGCCAGTCAGTTATGACGGAGAATTTAGCCTAATTTGTAATCAGTGAGAGCAACGTGCGGCTCACAGGTGGGCACTGTGCAAGGGGAGCTGGATCCCACATGGCCAACGGTGGTTTGCATCCTCTATCTAGTGACTGGAGGACCATGCCAGGCACATGTGCATGTATGCCCCTCATCCTGAAAGGATGGAGAGCTAGAAGAAAGGGGGTGACAGCATGACCAGGCCTCATGGGGGTGTGGGGTGCATTTCCTCCCTTCTTTTCTCTCTCTCTGGTGAATGCACACATCTTCTGACAATTAAAAATAAATATAACTGATGGGACCAGAAGATGGCGTAATGGTTACATCACTGGACCCCCACAGAGTCTACCACGGTTTGAGTCCCAGATCTGGTGACTTAAAACCAGTTTTTGTGCGTGCCCAGAATCCCAAGAGGAGACTAGAGGAGAAGGGATTGCAATGTGGCCACCCTTCCCTCCACCCCAGGGAGTATGATTTCTTGTTCTCTGTCTCTCAGGTGAGCGCATGCACCCTCCCTAGAGCAAAAATCTCTCTTAAAAATAAATAAATGTAGGGACCAGCAGTCAGCGTAACGGCTATGTTGCTGGACTCCCATGTAGTCAACCGTGGTTCATGTCCCAGACCCAGTGGCTTAAAACTCACGCCAGGCGCATGTGTGTGCGTGCCCAAGATCTTGAGAGGAGAATGGAGGAGAAGGGATTGCAGCATGACCATCCCCCCTGGGGGATGATTTCTCACTTTCTGTCTCTCTTTGTCTGTCTGACGAGCTCACACATTCTATAGCAAAAATCTCTCAAAAAAGAAAAGAAAAGAAAAACAAGCCAGGTACATGTGTGTGCGCAATGTAAATCCTAAGGAAGAAATTTGGTTGGGGGAGGGGCGTGTGACCTTCGCCCCCTGTCTGTCCCTTTCTGGCAAGCATTCGTGCCCTCTGACAACTAAAAAAAAAAGTTCTGCAAAGGTTCAAAACTTTTGAAACTTCAGCCGATGTCCAGCCATGAGAATCTTGCAGTGTATTTAGCAGAAATCTGGAGATGACCTCGAGGTGCATGCCATTTTCTCTACCCCCTGTGCCCGTGGACCGCTGGAGATCTGGAGCCCTGAGGGCAGAGACCTGCCTCCTGCCCAGGCTAAGCTGCACTGAGAGGGGAGCCACAGACCTGTGCCCTCTCTGGGCTGCAGGCCTCCCTCACTGCCTCCCCCACCCCTGCCCACAGCCCGCTTTCGGAAGGGACACAGACAGTATTGAGCCCCTCAGTGACCTGCGGACCCACGGGCCTCCTGCTGTGCCGCCCTGTCATCCTCACTGTGCCCCACTGTGCTGAAGTCAGTGCTGGCGACTGGATCTTCCAGCTCAAGACTCAGGCCCACCAGGGCCACTGGGAGGTGAGGAGTCAAGGCCAGGGGCATTGGGAGGCCTGGGGAAACCTCTTTTCTCCCAACCCAGCCTGGATGACTGTGACCCGTCCACCCCACCCCCACTGTCCCACTGCAGGAGGTGGTGACCTTGGATGAGGAGACCCTGAACACCCCCTGCTACTGCCAACTGGAGGCCAGGTCCTGCCACATCCTGCTGGACCC